ATTACAAACAAAATAAGGCTGCTTTGTTTGTGTTTTTAATTTGATCATCACCAGAAACCATTTGAAGATTGTGTTCGTTTGGTCCATAGTTGTTATAATAGCAAAAAATGCATTAAAAAATGCCAAAATGTCCACCATCAATTTGGCGGGAGAGAATATGCACGTCATGTAATCCAGTCATGTGATGCATGTTACCACACATCTGCTTGTATAAGATGTGCAGCGTACACGGGAAGAGACATTCGGATTTCCTTCATCTAAAAAAAAAGCTATGTAATTTATGCTGAAACTTGAGAGCAGCAATTTGTATGCTGATATCGTTTCCTGACGTCACACCGCCCAAGGTTGCCGCCATTATTCCTTGCTAGACGTCGAGTCCTGCAATGCCGCAACGGCACTGCTATTATCGATAGAATAGACAATTGTAATGGATTATGGGTAAAACGTAAAATATGTGCACCGACAAAAAGCGAAATTTTTTTTTTCACGTAGGCGTACAGAAATAACCAGAGAGGCCACATCGGGTAGGTAGGTAGGTAGGAGCGCCATCTTTTCCCCCACTATATCGTTATCGTTCCTGTTCTGTTGCCCGTTACGTTTTTTTTTCACCCGCTAATAATTCGATGATTTGCATAATTATTAATACTGTATTTATTTGTGTGTCGGGTCGAATGTAGCTTGTTTGTTGTTAAAGGCTCGCACGTTCTGTATGTGCGATATACTCCTTACAAATAGGTTGAAAGATATACACCGGTGTCGCAATTATACGACGGAAGTCTGTCAAATAACAGTGACATAATGTTGTGTTGCTATCATACATCATCGATCCAGCATAAAATATGCTTGATATGGACACGATATGACTATTACGTAACTGGGAATCACCATTTTTGTATGGCGATATAAATTACAGTAGACTGTCGACCGTGTGTGTCACATCCAGGGTAACGTGACGCCACTGCCGCCATTTTGCCCGATAGGGTAAACGGTACGGCTCACCGTGACGCTGGGCAAAATAAGATAAATCATTCCGCGTACTGCTGTACGAACAATCGCCTACATTGTAACAACATACTAACATGTACATTATATCATGTATTTTTACTGTTGCTTCTTTGAAAAAAATTGTTGCCATTGATAGTTTACTTTCTCCCCGCGACTGTGGATACATCCCACCTCCTCCCACCGACGGATGGCAGCAGCGATTGTCACGGGTGTATTTAAATTCTTCTTGGTGTTTGCATATGTACAATCTCTTTGATCACCTGTAAGTGACCTTTCACCCGATTAAGGGCCATTGCCTGAAACGACTGCCTGTGGACTATACATGCCCTATGATTGGCACAAGTTTGCTTATAAAAAAAACTATTGTAATGTGACTAATCTAAACACGTAGGACAACACGACTATGATTATAATATATAACTATAATCTATGATTTTAACAGGACTATAGTCATATATATATGATTGTAATGTGATTGTGTGATCTAGGATTATAATATAACTATGATCTATGCTTATGATTAAAACACGACTATGATGTTTATTCAGTTTAGTTTACACGCTTATAATAGCACGTGTCATCAGGTCTACAGGCCTGCGTTGAGCGCATGAGCTCCACACGCTGAACCCTACTCAGCTGGCATACCCCAGGCCCTGTGGAGACATGCGCGATAGCATGCTCACCATATCCTCTATACTCGTCTCCCGTTTTCGACATAATATTGAAAACAGTTGTCACGCGTGGTATTCATTACTGATGTCATTACGTTCACTATGCTCGCACATACAGTACACGCCGGTAACTGAGCCAGGTCCATCATAGTTATATATTTACATTGCGGCCTGGAAAACATGAAATATAGTTCTATATACAGTGTTTGATTATCTCGAGTTTTACAAAATCGTAATGTAAATTGAACGGGTAATGTTTTACTGTTTATATTCAAGTTGTTTCCTAGTATGTGTTGAAAATTCAGTATTGCGTCGCTCGCCACAAACAAGAAAGAAAGCCGGCTGGAATATGAAAATAATTCGTTCTGTTTGGAGACAATGTTGGCTCTGAAGTGAGGGAGCACTATAACATATACGCTGAGATGAACGATTACTATAGCAACGCGGCGAGTGAACCCCGCCGACCCCCGAGAATGAACTTAGTCACGGTGTTTGTTTACATTAGTCGCGGTGTGGCACCGGAATTATTTGTAGTAGTCATGTATTTCCCCAGAGCAAATGTATGAACGGGACGAACCTGTGTATGACACGTGTTTATTGCTATCAACATTCAGCGAAATAAAGTAACATGAAGGCATCCTCATGCAGTTGTTGAATTGTGATAATATTGACGTTTTCATCATGATTACACAAATATCGTTGTAACTGTAGCATCGCGGCTTTTTTTCACGGCCTCTACCCTCGCCCTTTAGTTTCACGACGCGCAAATCAGACACTATTAGCGTTGGAAATGAAAAAATGTCGTGCAAGGTGCTGAGAAAGGAAAACATAAGGAGAGTATTCTGGCAGACATGTATACATGACAGAACCCGTGCTGGCTGTTACATGTTAAAGATCCTGCGCATGCGTTCGTTCAATTCACACAGATCGAACGCAACGTACTCTGATTTGATAGGAATGGTTATTTTTAGCACAGTTCGATGTGTGGTGGATTTCCATGCTGAACTGGCCATGCCCGTCTAAAAACGGGTCTGTTACGTAATTAACTGAGCTAATAATGAGTATTTCACGCGCAGTATTAGAAACCCGAGTCATCACAATATTACGGATTGCCGTGTTCCCGATGTGAATATCGAACCTATTAGTTTCGTGACACATCACTAAGTGTGATTGTTATTCCACGCATGCGCAATAATGTGTGTATCACGCGGCGCTTCGTGTCAAAGGTTATTTGTTCTTTTTACGATTGGGTTGTCGGGGTCGCAGCAATCATATGCATGCTCCATTTCTCCACGTACTCTGGGCGTGTGATGAAAGTGACACTTCGAAATCAGGTGAACATAAATTGGCGCATGCGTATTACGAAAAACAAAACAACTTTCCAGTTGTACTGCTCCGTACCCATCAGTGTCGAAATACATGTATGTGCATATTTCTTTCTGCTATGGATATTATTTTGGCCTTTTTATTTTAAATATTATAAAGTATATGCACAATAAACAAAAGGGAAATATACTAATCTAGCGACGAATTTAAGCCAACCATGTGTGTGCTTCATTGTTGTCAACTAAACTTTTAGAGGGACGGTAGTGCACCACGCATGCGCGAGATATATGGGTCTCTTATAAACAAAGATGGCGGCTTTGACTGTTACTCAGATCAACAAGTACAAACTGAGACGTTACCAAGCTTTAATTAGGTATTTTTAGGTGATTGAAAGGTATCGAGGGAGTCACGTACAAGTCACGCTCAGGTCAAACCTCATGCTTGTAATTTCCATTGAAAGAGCGCATTGGATTGTGGGAAAATCAATGTTTATCAACACAAATGTCACACATGCGCAGCACGACGTTCACCGTTGGCTCCTATTCACCATTTGTTCTTTTGATAAAAAGTTCTCACCTTGTCACAACATTTTGTTTGGTTCCACATAGTGAAAAAATTATATATTATAAGATTCGTGTTTATGAAAAAATAAAAAAGATAAAAGAACTCTTTCATCATTTTACTCATAATGCTTTCTATTAATTTTTTTTTTCAAAAAAAAAATTTCGTGCTAGAAAAAAACCCTGAAAAGTTGATGACATGTTAATGGCGAAAAATTTACCTTTTTGGAGTTGATTATATATTTTAGTAAAAGGTAGTTAACAATATACGAACGCAAACCATGTTCATATGCAGATAGTACGATGTAGGTACAGACCAATCAGAGACGCAACAGACAAACATGAACTTGTGCACTTCCGAGTTTATTACCTCAGTCTACTTTCCACCAACTATGACATTTCAACTTCAAATATAATCGAAACAGCAATTTTGTAGTTATTCATTTTTAACTTCAAAGTGGATTACATGTTTTTATTATTTTTTTATAGAGTTTTTAGTAAATGCTGCAGTCGCAACATATTTCATCATAAATGTGAGAAAACTTAGGATACAGTGGTTTCATATCAAAATTGTAGAAGTTTGAATATCACGTTTTAGCTAGGCGACTAGTTGCCGTACTACACGAGCGCCGGTCCGAGTCATGCACGCAATGTGTTTACTTTGATTTGACGTAGTATTTACCATGCCGTTTCGTATTCGGCGTTATTTGCTTACGTTTTAAAGGGCGGCAGTCGTCGTGCCGCGCCCAGTTCGATATGGGACTTATAGCAACGTATACAACGCATGTAAAATACATTGTTTATTTACATGAAATTCGAACACGCGCTGCACGACGACCACCGCGCTTTAACAAAATGTTTTAATTTTACATGAGAAATATGTACACGACCAATAAAACAAAACCGCTAACGGTCGTCCATTTTGAATCAACTAACGACACAACTTATGAGTGAGCATCATTCCTCCATTATGTGTGTCATTTCAAACGCGTTTTTTTTTTTTTTTTTAAATCATTCATAGAATGCCAGAGAAACAGTCTGTTAAAGCGGGGGAGACGTCGCCTGCGCATGCGTCACGTGGCCATAGCGTGTCATTGTTTACAAGTAAGCGTCTACCCATGAGCCTTTGCGTTTTAGCGTGTGTTATCGTCGTTTGGGACTCAATTCTCGCGTGTGCGCAGGCGTCGACCCTCCCGCTTTAAGAACCAAAATGGCTCTTAGACGCGTTCAGGTAAAGATATATGGGATTGGATGACGTGCATTGCATGTTCATATACAAACCGTTGCGTTTTGAATGTTGAATGAACATGACACCGGAAGCACGGGAACTGTGAACTTGAACTAAATCTGCAACATTTCTTTACATCATACTGGTATGGATCACTGACCGACTATATCTATGTTTCTAATTTTAACTATAATGTTTCATTTTTTTCAGGACTGGACAGAAACATCCAGTTTATCAGATTTGTAAGAAATTGATCTTCACCAAAAATGGGAAATCTGTGAGCTCGTACATGGCGGCAACCCCCGATGAGATGAAAAAATCAGCAGGCACCCAGGGCACACTAAACGTTATCAATGTATCAAATAGCAAAAAAATGGTGATCGGTTTACCAGCGTTTGCGCATGCGCCAGTCACAAATGTGCAGACGACTCCAAATCTGGAGACAATAAAAATACAACCGACAACCAAGATTCAGATAAACCCAGACAGACAGATAGTCCAAAGCACCGAAAAGACTGTCAAATTATCAAATAACCCACAAGTTGTGATTGGTTCACAAGTTATTTCAAAGACACCAGTCACAACAGTACAGACACAGACTACAAATGTGCTATCAGGAAACCAGGTTCAGGCTACTAAATTAGTTAGCGCCACCACCGGCGATCCGAAAGTTGTAGTTTGCACAACGACACCCGTGCAGTCTGCCACTGGCACACGACCTGTTCAGTTTGTTCTCTCTCCCCAGGTTGCCAGTCAGACGAAATTGGCAAATGGAAATCTTCAGATGTTGAAAGTTGGCGGGAAACCTATAAAAAGCGAGACCGCAACTATGCCAGTGAAGCCCAGTAGTTCGACTGCTGGTAAACCGATATTACTGTCGATCACACAGTCATCCATTTGTGGGACGCAGACGATAACAACCGTGCCGACTACACCAATATCGTCCGTTACATCAGAACCGTACACGAAAAGTGTGGCAATACCCGGGTCGATAACTGCAACTGCGGGCACTCAGCCCATGTTTATGACCATAAGCCCGTTATCAGTGACGTCAGCCAACACTTCTTACGTCCAACCACGGATTATCACAGCAACAAGTACACAGCCAGTACGCGTTTTACTAAGCCAGCCCAACAAAGGTCGTAACATCACAATGCTCACCGTACCAGCGTCACAAATAAAAACGAGTCAGACAAAGATAGCCAAATCGACAAACCCGCCAGTATCTCCGATCACCGTATATTCCAGTGGGGCGAGTTCGCCGAAGGTATCGGCTGTTACACCAATTATACGCGCCACGCACGACCTGTCGAAGTTGTTAACGCCCCCACCGACGCCTGACATTTGTGATAGTGAGAAATCAAATGCGTGCACGACAATGCCAGCGAATTCATCAGCTAGATTCATTACCATTGCTAACGCATCCGTACCGCTAGTTAATACAGTCCCCATGGCAACGATTTTAACAAAACAGACGCTTTCAAACGTAGCTAAAGTCCAGCCCATTGTGCCTGTTGCTATTCGGGCAGCCGCAAACGCGCCCAGTTGCGAGGCCCATCTCAATGATAATGATCCTTCAGATTCAAAATGTGATTCAAAATTACAGAAAACTGCCGAGTGTGATACAAATGAAAAGCACATTTCAGACACGGCCGCCACGAAATGTGACGAAAAACCAATGTTTACAATTGATTCAGTGTTTAGCCTATCGGAAAGCTCTGCCAACGATTTGTTTCCCGAAGCTGCGCGGAATACTGACGAACAGCCGACGTCCGAAGAATCCAAGCCATCTCAGTCGTTAGAGGGCGCTGGTATATTGTCAAGCAGTTGCGTCGGGATGAAGATCAAAACTGAACCCCCTGATACTGGATACGAAAAGGCTTTACAAATCAAAAAAGAACCACCAGACACTGGTTATGAAAAAGCTTTGCTGAGCTCAAATGCTGAGTGGCGAGCTACAAGTAGCAATCAATCAGAAAAAACAGATGAAAGTGCAACTGGCACACCAGAAGTTGTGGATTATCAATATCCGATGGTAGTGACGCCCTCGGTAATGTCTAACACACCGGGAGAACCAATGAGATGGACTGTGCAAACCTCGCCGCCTGCGTCGTCGTCAAAACCACTTGCATCGTCAACACTATTGGCGTCATCGACACAGTCATCGTCAATACAGCTACCAACGTCATCGACGCAACTGTTGGTGTCTGCAGCGCAACCGCCGACGTCTTCGACACACCTAATCGTGTCATCAACACAATCACTGACGTCATCAACACAATCACTGACGGCACCGACTATTATAAAAACATCAGCTCCCATTCTAAAATCATTACCATTACAGACGTCCGCGACAATACTCGTAAAAACTCTTGCTAACTTGAAAGCTGCCTCCGCGCCGGGTTCCAGCATCTCGGCGTATTACGTGAAGGGTGCTGACGGAAAAACTGGCTTATTACAAATACATTCGGCGTCCGCGAAACTATCAGAAATTGCCAACACCGCCATGCTTGACAGTCAGAAATCAAAAAATCAACCAATGGCCAGTTTAACAACGACCGTACCAGCAAATAAAAATCCAATGCCAGCGAAAACTAAACCAACGTCAGAAAACACTGAGCTAATTGGCCAAATCAAATCTATTATTCCGGAAAATCAATTTCTGAATGAAGTCATTATTAAACAAGAAAAAACTGACGATGAAAACATTATTTTCCCACTTTCCACAACCAAGAAACGTGAAACTACGAAGCCACCTGCCCCTACTCGGGTGTTACGTAAACGCAAACAGAATTTGCCCGCGTTGTCGGAAACTCGCACTACAGACGCGGCTTATCTGGATCCATCCAGTAGCTGCACCGACGAGCATAAAGAAACCATACAGGAGGAACGCATACGAAAATTGAAAGAGTTGCTGAAGACCAAAACCGCTGCTTTGGAAGAGGTCAGAAAAAAAGGCGTTGCGAAGAGACAAAAAATGTCCAATGACGATGAAGACACAGAAAGTGCTGAAGAGACGTGATTTCAAAAGGTGAGGGGCTTACTATTTTTTATAGGGAATTCTTGGTTGTCATTTTTTTATTATGTGTAATGTGCACCCCCCC